ACCCCCACAACTGAGTCTGGATATGACGACCGACGAAACCTCAAAGCCGGGAAGATAGGTTGGGCGGCGAAATCCACCGACAACCATGACCCACAAAAACTCCAAGCGAAGCATAAAAGGTCCCCAACCGTGATTCGGCCCACGTCTGCCTGGTCGACACAAAGGATAACCCACCGAGAAAGAGAGGGTGGCGAAAATCGGGTGAGGGTTTTGTTAGGGAAATTGATGTTTTTTTTTAGATAGAGATAGTCCACAAGCCGTGTGTCTCAACTAGAGATGTTAAACGGTCCTTGGCCCGACGGGGCAGCCCGTTTAGCCCAGAAAAAACAGGGTTAGGCTTATCCATTGGTAGCCCGTTTAAATCAAGGCTTTAGCCCGAAACCCGTTAGGGCTAGTCCGAAACCGCTGGGGCTAGTCTGTTTAACTTTGGGTTGGGCAGTGTAAATATTTGCAGCAGATAGAGAATATGCCCCAACATTCCTTGTATATTAAAATTTTGTTATTCTACTTCACATATAAGTATAAGATGTAACGAGATATTATGATTTTGAAATATAATTTTAATAAATTTGTTATTCCAGTTTACAATAAAATACTTAAACCAATCAGACTGGCTAATAAAAAACACATGAGATAAAGAAGTGATAGAATATAAAGTTAGCAATATGATACAGTATCATGAAAATTATCAAAAGTACAAAATAAGTAGTAAAATGGTAATTATAAGTAGGGATGAAAGCGGGAACGGGAAAATCCCGTACCGACCGATACCGTATCCCGAATATACCGATCGTATTCCGTTTTGGTAGGAAAAAATAGGGAACGGGAACGGGAATAGGGAAATGGGAACAGGAACGGGAACGGGAACGGAAAGGGGTATTTCCCGACCGTATTCGCGGATCCCGTATTTGGGCGGGAAAATTCCCGCGGTATTCCCGTTTATTATAGTGGCCAAATCTCGTATCTAGCCCAGCGACCCACTAACATTAATAGGGATGATACATTGCTATACTTTCTCTGTATGTCCATTAACTTTGTTTTGATAAACATATTATAATGTAGGGTGAGCAAAAGTTCATTTTTCTCACTCTTGATTCATGTACTGCCAGATTATTGGCATTTGCTGGCAATTAGAGAAACTTATTTGTTTTGAAATGCTTTGTTATAACTTGGTC